TTGGTTGTCAAGAATTGTGGAGCATCTGAGATTTCATCCAAAAGTAAGCTAACATGTTTACCTATCAGATTCATGGATGCTGGCAGAAGACATGAAACTCCTGGGTCAGAAACAAAGGACTTTATTACACAAACATATAGCAGTAGCTGGAATATCAGTATTTGTCCCAGTTCTCTAAACTCCAGTTTCCAAGGGGAGACACAAAGAACGCCAGGTAATGCCTGTATGTGCAGTGGGTTGCCCTGTGGAGAGGAACCTTGAACTCAGGGAACCCAAATCCTTTGTAATAAGCAGTAAACCTGACTAAATTTTGCCCAGAGACATTAATTTATTATTCTTAACCACAAACAAACCTCTCCTTTGCTCCAGAGGCAGCTTCCTTTACTGTCTTCCAAGTCTGTTCACTAAACAAACATCCTTGGAAGGATACCCCAAAACAAAGGTGGTCTGCACCTTTGCACCTGTGTCCATAAGACATGAAGAAATGTAACAGACCCAGAAAATTGATTCCCAACATTAGTTTGCTCTATACTGCCCACCCTTCCCCTTGATTATAAGCCCCTAGAGGGCAAGAAGAATGTCTTATCATGGTTCTCGCGGAATAAATGCTGTTTGTTCAAGAAAGTCCATGAAATCTTCTGAGTAAATAGAATGATCTACCAGAGATGTTAATAGTTTCCTATGTCAACACCCTATTTTTAGAGAAATGTTTCTGCCCCAGCTATCTGGAGACCAATGAGAATATACGTTTTTTTTGATAACATAGTCTCCCTGTTCTACATGAGTTTTTCTCTTTGGGGGTAACTAACTCTCAGGCCTTCCATTTCCTATTTCTTCTCACTCCTTGCCATAAACACAGTGGTTTTCTACTTTCATTCTTGTCCTCGTCAATACCAAATCCTAGGAAAAGAGTGAGATTCATTTGCACCAGGCTATAAACAGCTTTAGTACCACCCATCTGAGACTGTCAACAACTTCCATTAAATGGGAAATAAATATAAATTTTGAGAATGTGGCAATTCCTAGAAACCATAATAAATATGGTTGACTGCTGTTCCTGAAATTGTTCATTCATAATACATTGATGAACATCTACCCTGCCTACACACACAAGAGTAAGCTTCAGGAATGAGTATTCCTATTACAAGGAAGTCATTTGCGATAGAAGTACTTTGAGAGTAGAAATACAGCATTTTTATTATCACTTATATCTCTGCTATTTTAAAGCTAACACAAAGCAACACAAAATGGTTTTGAATCAGGGACAAGAAAAAACACTTGTTCCTGCTAAGACAAGCATGTAGTAGTATATATTCTTCGTCTAAGAAACTTCTTACATAGGCCAGGCACAGTGGCTCATGCCTGCAATCTTAAGACTTTGGGAGGCCAAGGCGGGAAGATCATGAGGTCAGGAGATCGAGACCATCCTGGCCAATATAGCAAAACCCCGTCTTTACTAAAAATACAAAAATCAGCTGGGTGTAGTGGCATGTGCCTGTAATCCCAGCTACTAAGGTGGCTGAGGCACAAGAATTGCTTGAACCCAGGAGGCAGTGAGCCGAGATCACGCCACTGCACTCCAACCTGGCAACAGAGCAAGACCCCGTCTCAAGAAAAAAAAAGAAAGAAAGAAAGAAAAAAAAAAAGGAAAATTCTTACATAGCCCAAGTTTTTTTTCTTCAAATTAAAACTCCTTCTAAACATTGAGAGTGCCAAGAGAGTTTGAAAGGACCAAAGTTGATGGTGATTATCTTAACAGAAGAAATATGCCTGTTTGAGTATTGCATATTTGAGTGGTATGAGTGGTAGCTGCATGGATTTTACAAAAAGTTCAAATAATGCCTAGAGGATACACTGCATTGTACTGCAGCATTTGCATGGCAGTTGCCAGACCTCTCAGAGATGCTTTCGTAGTGTGACATTTTTAAACTCTATAGGTATAAAGATGGGTGTGATAATTATGGGCCAATTTTGCTAGTTAATATTCATTGCAAAATATCAGACCCCATATATTCGATGCCTGGTGCCACTCTGATATTCAGGTTGCAGGTCGAAGTTATCACCTCAGAGAGAACCTCTCTGATCACCAGTCTAAAGTTGCATCTATACCCAATCAGTCAGCCTGAAATCATCTTAGTGGTTTATTTGCTTATTGATAATTTTCTCCTTTCTCCCTCTAGCACATGAGATTTGGGGGTCTTGCCTATTTCTTTAGAGCTATATCCCTGGGCCTAGAACAGTGTCTGAGACATGGGAAAAAATCAAGAAATAATGAAAGAGAGAATGGATCTGTTGTTCTACTCTTTTAGGCCACAGTTTCCACTGGTATCTACAGTTTTCTTGGCAGTTAGCAACTGTTCTCGGCAGAGTGCTGGCTAAGTTTGCTTTCTCAAAACCCACAGATGACAGGTGAAATACTCATGGCTTAACTAAGGAGAAAGAAGACTCTTTCATTCTTCTCTCACAGTAATTGTGGTTTCCTCTTTCTAATGCTGTTGCTTCTCCTTATTTGAGATTTGGGGTTGTGTTAACACCATTTTTGCATTGCTAGAAAGAAATACCTGAGAATGGGTAACTGAAAAAGAAAAGAGGTTTAACTGGCTCATGGTTCTGCAGCCTGTGCAATAAGCATGGCACCGGCATCTGCTCAGCTCCCAGCGAAGCCTCAAGAAGCTTTTACTCAAGGCAGAAGGCAAAGTGGGAGCAGGCAGGTCACATGGTGAGAGCAGGAACAAGACAGAGAGGGGGGAGATGCCACACTCTTTTAAACAACCAGACCCTGAGTGAACTCAGAGCAAGAGCACAGGTATCACCAAGGGGATGGGCCAAGCTATTCATGAGGGATCTGCCGCCATGACCCACCACCTCCCACCTCCAACATTGGCGATTCCATTTCTTTCTTTTTCTCTTCTCCATTTCAACATGAGATTTGGAGGGAACTAACCATATCAGGGTGTTTTTCTGAGTATAGAGAGAATCAATCCTGGTAACTGCTGGATTTTTCAGCAGTTCATGCAGTCCACAGACCATCTTCCCCTCAGTCCCTCCCATCACATCACACAGCCTCCAGCAATTTGTGGGGAATATTTGTTTACAACTATGTTATGCATATACACATATGTGTGTAACATAGATTATGTATATTTCATGCTGATAAATACAAAGAAAATAATGATAGAGGTGCAGAGAGAATGCACACCTGCTGATTCTCACATTTTGAAAGCAAGTACTAATTTTATAAGGGCAATTTCAGATAATAAACAGAACTCTTCTATTTAGTAATTGGGCTAGGTTCTGTAAAATTTGAGTCACATCAAATCTCAGATGATTTAGCTCACAGCAAGTTTCAGAGTAGTCTGCCTTTCTGAACCTAGGCAGACTTCTAATAAATATATTCTGGAAAAAATGCATATATTTCTCTCACCACCAACTTCAAGAAGGACATATGTGTCCTTCTTGTGTTATTCTAACACAAGGCAGCAAGATCAGCCTGGCCAACATGGTGAAACCCCGTCTCTACTAAAAATATAAAAATTAGCTGGGCATGGTGGTTAGGTGGGTGCATCTGTAATCCCAGGTACTCAGGAGGCTGAGGCAAGATAATTGCTTGAACCCAGGAGGTGGAAGTTGCAGTGAGCTGAGATCATGCCCTTGCACTCCAGCCTGGGCGACAGAGTGAGGCTCCATCTCAAAAATAAATAAATAAAATAATTAATTAAAAAAATATATTTAACACAGTGTTGAAAATGATTCAGAACTTCCCATCTGACTGAAAAAGATAAACGATGAAGTACTCTGCACTCTTATCTAGTGGAAGATGCATGATTCATTATAGCATTTCAGAGACATTGTCTTTAGTTTCCATTTTGTGAAAAATTAAGAAAGCCCGTAGCTTAACCACAAAAAACTTTGTTTTATGTGTTAGCTCATAATGATATCCTAATATCACACAAAGACAGTGATTTAATACATAAGGCTAAGAGCTCAAATTTCACACCCAGCTGTCACTTTCTGCCTACCCCGTATAAAGAATCACCTAGTTTCCTTTTTAATCTTACAATTCCTTCACCTGACTCACAAAGTTCTGAGCGTTGTATCCTTACCTTGAAAGTACGGATAGCATTTTCGCTGAGATTTAAATTATTTCATTGTGATAAGAAGATAAAGGTGATTCATCAGGTAAAACAGGAAAGTTGAACATTTAAAAAACAATATTAAGCTATTATAAAACATATATGGAAATTAAAAAAAACAAAACTAAACTAAACTTCACCAGATGGTCAGAGACTTCTAGGAGTTCTGTATACTCAAAATGCTTTGAATGCATACACAGATAAGCTTTTTTTCACCACCTTGAAATGTAAGGACCCAACAGGTTCACCTTGCCCACTGCCTGGACAGAGTCCATTTATCAAGACAGGGGACTTGCAGTGGAGAAAGAGTAATTCATTCAGAGCCAGCTGTGCGGGAGACCGGAGTTTTGTTATTACTCAAATCCATCTCCCAGAGAATTCTGGGATCAGAGTTTTTAAAGATAATTTGGCGGGTAGGGGCTTGGGAAGTGGGGAGTGCTGATTGGTCAGGTTGGAGATGGAAACATATGGAGTCAAAGCTAGTTTTTCTTGCTGTTTTCTGTTCCTGGGTGGGGTGGCAGAACCATTTTAGCCGGATTACGGGTCTGGGTGGTGTCGGCTGATGCACTGAGTGCAGGATCTGCAAAATATCTCAAGCACTGATCTCAGATTTCATGATAGTGATGTTATCCCCAAGAGCAATTTGGGAAGGTTCAGACTCTTGGAGCCAGAGGCTGCATGACCCCTAAACTGTAATTTCTAATCTTGAAGCTAATTTGTTAGTCCTGCAAAGTAAGACTGGTCTCCAGGCAAGAAGGAATTTTTTTCCAGAAAGGACTATTATCAATTTTGTTTCAGAGCCAAACCATGAACTGAATTCCTTCCCAAAGGTAGTTTGGTCTACACCCAGGAATGAACAAGGGCAGCTTAAAGGTTAGAAGCAAGATGGAGGCAGTTAGGTCTGATTTCTTTCACTGTCAGTCATAATTTCCTCAGTTAAAATTTTTGCCAAGGCAGTTTCAGAAACACAAAAAGAAATCTTAAAGCACAGAAGCACACAGACACACATTGCATCACTAGTTATGATACAGTCATTGTCTCAGATCTTTCTCTCTCTGTAGCAGTGAAAGCCTGGTCTGAGATAGGACCTACTGTCTGACAATCTGAAAAAAAAAAACAAGAAAATTCAAGTGCCACAAAGAACACCTTTCAATCTAACTCTCAAATGTGTCAACTGAAAAGTTAAATAACAAGCACTATAACTTAAAGAAATTTAAAGTGAGCTTTATTCTGAGCCAAGTTTGAGGAAGATAGCCTGGGAAACACAAAGTCAGAGCAAAACGACAATGTGTCCCCAAGTGGGCTACACGAGGCACAGTATTTATACACTCCTCTTACATAGGAATGGGAGAAGGGGGCAGTGAAGCAAAGGCGACGATCTTACAATTCTGTTTGTTGCTCAGTGACCTTATACATGAGATACAGCCAATATGTGGTTAAGGCATAGAGGGTAAAAGGTTTAAGAACATGTGGGCATCTTAGGGCCAGAGAGGAATGACCTGTTCTGCTGTGCCCTTGTGAATCATCTGCTAGGCAAGGTTTTAATCAGTACAGGTCAGTGAAATATTGGACAGCCTTAAGCCTTATAGACAAAGGTTCAGCTCTAGTTCACGGGCATCGTTTCCATTACCATATGTCCAACCTGTAACCATCTTGGGCTGCTTTTAAATGTTTTTCCTTCAGATTTTCCTTTTCTGACATGCGGAATGAAATCAAGTAGAACGCTACTCTGACTATCTCAATTTATATCTTTTCTAAAAACAAAATTTGACATTTGCATGGTAATCTTTCAGCAAATTTGGCAGGAAAAAAAACCCCAATTCAAATATTTCAAAAGATTTCCACCTGTCTTTTTAAAAAGTTCTTGGAGACCCATCAATGACAAAAAATACCTTTCAAGCTTTCCCTCAAACAGTGTCACATTTACCAGGTGACATTTTCTTCTACTTCACATAACTTATCTGACACAGGAGCATATCAGCAATATACTACAGGGAAGATAATTGGAATCAAGAAAGCTAATCCACCTTTCTGCTTCAACTGTCAGAGAAAAAAAATTGAAGTCGCAGCAAATACTTTTAAAAGCACAACAGTAGAATGTCAATTTCCTGACTCAGCAACCCAAACAAAAATGGCAAATCTATTCACAAAGCCATAAGAATCTGCCACATCTGGTATTCAGTGGCATAATGTGCTTTCATAGCTAACTTGAATGGAAGCTGTAGGAAAGAAAGATGGGACAATCCCTTTGCCCCAACCTCCGTGTAGGGATATGATACGTGCATAAGGGGATACGGCCCAAAACATTCAGCTGAGTTAAAGTGTAAAACTAGTACTTTGGTCTAACAGACCAAAAGTTTCACAAAAGTAATTCTAAATGCAAGAAAGGACAATGATTTCCATAATACTTGTAGAAAATGATGTCACCTGGCCACAAAGTTAATCAGAAAGCAAAATAGACCCAGGTAAATCTTAACACACTGGTATTCACACACCCCATCTTCCTTATGCCCTGAAGCAGATTCCTAAGCATTGGGCAGAAACACATATGCTGATTTTAGAAATTCACCTGCTTGTAAGACCAAAAAAATTAAAGCTGACTTGATAAATGCATTGTTCTTATTTATGTCATATCAGAAAGTGGATCTTTGAAGCTATTTTGCCAAGGACAATTTTCACAAGGTATCCCTCTCTTTCTGCTTGTTTCCCTCCCGCTCACACGTGATCTCTCTCTCTCTTTTTCTCTCTCTGTCTCTTTCCTTGTTTCTTTCCAGGAAGTCTCTGACTTAGGAGCATCTACCAACCTTACCAAGATGTTGTGCATGATATTCCAAAAACTGAAGGATCATCTCTCCTGGGAGAGACAATGTCTAAATATCCACTAGGCCAACAGCCATTGTATGAAGCAATTCCTTTCTTCAAGATGGCAGAAAACTGTGGTGGGGTGGTGAGATTGGCAACCAGCTAGGCACAGGGAAAGGCTCTCACCCTGCTCCATCCCAGTGCTTGCCGCCTCCTACCCAGCGGAGGAAAGGGGACTGTCCTTGGATTCCAAGACGGATTTTCAAAAAAGTCCAGAAGTTAAATAAAATAGAAAATTCAAATTCCTTTATTTTTGATTTTCTACTTTTATACTAAAGCATTTAGAGGGGAAATAACATCTAGGAAAATGGTTTTTACAAGGAAACTTGAATTTAATATTTTCTACGCTGGGTTCAGTTTCCTGTCTCCCATCAAGATGGTAACCTATTATCACACTTGTGGAAAACACCTGAGGCATGAGTGATTGCAGACTAATTCATAGCCTGTCACATCGTACTACTTAATTGTCATACACCAATATAAACAGATACCACATTTTTGTCACTAATAAATATGTTTTTGTTATGAAGGTTTAATGTAATTAATGCTACCCGTAACTTCAAGCTCAGGAAAGCAATTTTTGATATTTGCTTACAAATATGAATAGTAAATAAGCCTGCCATCTCCTGCCCTTTAAACTTTGAACCACCCTTGTCAACAGTCTTAGCTACTACATGTTTTGCAAAATTCCCTTATGACCAGTTCCAACATTGCTTCACCAGAGTTTCATTGTTTCTTTTCTTTCTTCTTTTATAAGCAAATATCTATGGATTTCCCACTAAAGGTGAATGCATTATACTCAGAACTGGGGAGACAACACTTAACACAGAGATAGTTCTCTGTCTTAGCACCTAGAAAGGACAATCACAGGCAATAGTAAGTTAGTGTGATGAACGTTATGATGGGGGTGAACAGGTGCTGATGGAGAACTAATGAAAGATACCTGATCAGGATTAAGGGAGTCGGCAAAAGCTCCTTGTAAGATGCGATGATGTTTAAGTAGAAGGTGGAGGGTATTCAGGAGTCATCCCGGCAAAGAAGGGGTTGTGGTTGGAGGTAGAGTGTGAGGAGTGGCGAGTTGTGAAAAAATGGGGTTGGTGATGTTGGGGCTCAGAAAACAGTACCAAAATTGTGTTACCGGCGGGTCTTTGTTCTTAGAGCTCTCAAGATGGTGGTGGCTGCTCCCAAGATGCTGCAAGCTTTTTGTTCTCTGACCTGGGGTTCTTGGCCTCATGGATTCCAAGGAATGGAACCTTGGGCCATGAGGTGAGTGTTGGAGCTCTATTAGAAGCCGTGGGTCACGCAAGAGAACCGTGGAATTCAGTGACTTGTGTTCAGCAGGATTAGGACGAACCCAGGCACTTAGCCGCACAGGAACAATGGGGAGCCTCTAGCCCGATCCGGAGCCGTGATGGGCACCTCACTGGATCAGGAGCACAGCGGACACCCTGCTGGAACCTGATGTGTGGAAGTCAGCCTTGGATCTGTGACAGCGGCAATCAGCAATGGTGGATGGCAAGTGAAAGCTCAGCTCGAGCCGGAACAACGGACCAGAAGAGGGTGCAGTTACAAGATTTAATAGAGTGAAAACAGAGCTCCCATACAAGGGGAGGGGACCCAAAGGGGGTTGCCACCGCGGGATCCAATGCCTGAGTGTATATCCCGATCATCCTCTCTCCCTGTGCTCTCAGGTGATAGATGATTGACTATTTCTTTACCTCTTGCTTTTATCCTAATTGGTATTTTAGTGAGCTGTCTTTACTACCTGATTGGTCAGGTGTGAGCTGAGTTACAAGCCCCGTGTTTAAAAGTGGGTACAGTGACCTTTCCCAGCTAGACTTAGGAATTCTTAGGCGGCCTAGGAAATCCGGTTAGTCCTGTCTCTCAATTGGAAGGCTCAGCAGCAAATGTTTTCTCTGACCTTCTCCTGCCCTCCTGTTCTCTTACTGCATTCCCTACCAAGGCTAGTCACAGCAACTTAGAGCCATCCACAGGGTGTATCTCAGAAACCAGAATTTCTTTTCCCCAAAGCCAGTTACAAAACCTAAACATATTGCTCTAATTTGCCTTCCTCTCTATCTGTGTAAAAACTGATCATAAAAAAATGATCAGATCTACCTTGTAAAGAGCCTCATTCCAGAAAGGGTCCCGCCCCACACCCAGAAGGAAGGAAAGCTGCACAGAGAGGCCAAGAAGAATCTAAACAGAAAGGTCTTGCAGGTGACCCCACCCAGTCTATTAGCAAGGCCCAGTAAACGTTCCCCGTAGCCACTACAGCGATGTCGGCAAGGTCCACATCATGTCACATTCTCAAACTACATGAAGAATTAGTAGGATCCTAGAACCAACGTAATAACTAAAAAATTAGATGCATTACATTTGGGTTATAATGACATTACTCTGGCTAGAGTTTAGAGAATGGATCGGAGAGGAGCCATGACTAGGGGTAAGAAAATTAGTTAGGTAGTTGCTGGGATAATCTACATGGGAGGAAACGGTGGCCAACCTAAGGAATCGCTGGCGAGGATGGCGAGAAATAGATAGATTTGGAATATACTGGAGGTACAGTGAACTCCGTGATTGATTCGTTTGAGTAAAGGAGTGCTGAAGTTCTCGAATAGCTGGATGGATGCTGTTGCCATTGCCTGAGACAGAAAACACAGTAGAAGGAACACATTTGTTGAGAATCACGAGTTCGAGTTGTACCTGATGAGTCTGGGATGATTGCAGGACATCCCAGTGGAACTTTCCAGTAGGCACGTGGGTCTATGAGTTCAAACTTTCAGCGACAGACGGATGCAGAGCGTGATGGCAGGAGAAGCAGATGTGGGACTCATTACTTCCTAAAGATGACATAGAACCATAGGGGTCAATGAGACAGCCCACGGAGGGTGTGGAAGACAATAGGGTCTAGGACGGAGCTTCAAGGAAGACAGACATTCAAGATCAGTCACAAGAAGAGAAGTCACAGAAGCATACAGAGGAGCAAAAGCAATCCTTGTTAAGCTTTGAATCCCACCCTCTTCGCCAGGTCTCTCACACGGTCCATTATGCCTTCTCTACTCTGAATTTTTAACTTTCCCTTTCTGCTGGATTCTCCTCATAGGCTTTGACCACACTCAGGTTCCTCTCATCTTAAGGAAAAGCAGCCAGCCTTTGACTCCACCCACTTTCCTCAATGTACTGGCCTATCCTCTCCTCAAAGGCAACTTCTGTAAACTACTCAAGTGATTTTTATTTACTCTTTCTCTTGCCCCACCTACAGTCATCTTTAGCTCACTCTATCTGGCTTCTGCTTTAAGTATATTCTAGAAACAGTCCCCACTAAAGTCATGAATGATTTCTGTATCTCTAAATTCAACAGATATTATTCATTCCTTAACACTTCATCCTTTTTCTTTCTTTTCTTTTCTTTTTTTTTTTTTTGAGACAGAGTCTTGCTCTTGTTACCCAGGCTGGAGTGCAGTGGTGTGATCTCAGCTCACTGCAACCTCCACCTCCTGGAATCAAGTGATTCTCCTGTGTCAGCCCCCTGAGTAGCTGGGATTACAGGCATGTGCCACCATGCCCAGCTATTTTTTTTATTTTGTATTTTTAGTAGAGATGGGATTTCACCATGTTGACCAGTCTGGTCTCGAACTCCTGACCTCAAGTGATACACCCGCCTCAGCCTCTCAAACTGCTGGGATTACTGGCATGAACCATCATGCCTGGCCATGTCATCCTTTTTGAAATACATTCTATTTTCTTTTGGACAGGTGTAAGGACAAATACAATTTGAAAATAAGAGGCTTTACTGCCCTGATAAAAATTAAGAGATCTTCCTATCCCACCTCCTTTATCTCAGGACACTTACTTTAGAAAACTCCTGAGTACTTTTTCCTGTTTTTGAAATGTATATAAATCCCGTGGAAGATTAATAGGCCTTTTGTCAGCTTTATGACCTAGAGAATCTCTTTCTCAAAGACCTGGGAGCCATCTCTTTGCAGTGTAAACATCTGGGGAGATAGAAACACTGTCTCCCAGTTTCTGTGTTAAGGTAGGAGCCTACATTTAGTGAATGCCTCTCTCCAAGTTGGAAAATGACCTTCTCTCATAAAGATATGAGAAGTTTGTTTTCCCTCTAGACAATGCCATATTTACCCATCGCACATGGTCATCCCAATTACCAGATGAAGTGAGGATGAGCTATATGTGACAAATGGTGCTGGTAAGTCCTCTAACTCTAGGACTAGTTATTGTTTAACTTGAGAATGTGGATATAATCGGTTGTGTCTGCTTGGCTATAGAAAAGGCTGAGATCTCTTTCTGTTTTTTCAATTTCTTAGCAGATCGTCTGTGAGGCTTGCTTGGTCAATACTTTTTAAAAATGTTTTATTTCTCTTCTTCCTTTGTGGAGAGGATTTCTGAGTTGGAAGAAGGTTTTGTTTTAAATTATATTTTCCCTACGCTGGTTGTCACCAACAGAATGTCACCATTTTCCATTCTGTGTAATTTTATCTTACTGTCTACCAACCATTTTTTTTTAACACACTGCAACATGATTTTTCAAATGTGAACCTGACTACATCAAAGCCCAGGTCCATCTCTTTCCCTTTACTACTTATTTAAAATACTACAGTGATCTTAGTGTTAAAATTACAACCAGTAATACAGTCTGCGCAGGCCTACAATCTCAGGCTTTATCTTGTACCCTTCTTGTCTCTAGCCACACAAATCTTCTATTTTCTCAAATGCGCCACACTCCTTCAGTCTAAACAAGTATCCCCTCTTCAGCACCCCCACCTCATTTTGCTTAATTAACTCTATTTTGCCATTAGAATATCAGCTCACATATCCCATCTTGACGGGAAACTTAGCTCTCACAAAAGCAAGGTCAGATTTTCCTGGTATAGTTATCAGAGCGCTGTACAAAATTTTTTTTGATAATCCTATTGCAGATTGTTTTGTGAAATTATTTGCTGTCTTCTCCATTTGACTATAAGCTCCAAGAAGGCAGGGTCGTCATCTGTTTTTACTTACCATTGCTTCTCCGTGGCCTAATACAGTGCCTGGCATATGGCAGGAGTTCAAGAAAAGCTCCATTCATCCTGCTCCTCATGGGAACAAAATGTTGCCATGCTATGCAATAAATAAGAAAAAAATTCAGAAAGTTCAATGTTAGTTTTTTCAGTTGTTAGCTTCCTTCTGAATCAACTTTAAAGGTGCGTAGTTAAGAAATCAACTATTTTATTAAAGGTGTTTCTTATGGATTCCATTTGCAAAGTCAGTATTCACTTTTGACTTAGATTACTGCTGTTTATTGATTACTGTGTAACTAATTAACCCAAAACTTGGTAGCTTAAAACAGGACTTGACAAACTTTTTCTGGGAGTTGACAGACTTTTTCTGTAAAGAGTCATATAGTAAATATTTTAGAGATCTTTGTTGCAACTACTTCACTCTGTCATCGTAGGACAAAAGCAGCCAACAACAGTACACAAGAAATAGGTGTGGCTGTGCTGCAATAAAACTATACCAATGGACACTGCAATTTCAGTTTCAGATGATTTTATTATGTCACAAATATTGCTATTTTGATTCTTTTTGCAACCTTTCAATAATGTAGGACTCATTTGCAGCTCACAGGCTATACAGAAACAGGCCATGGCCCATGGCCATACTTTGACCCATAGGCCACAGTTTGCCAACAATAATATTTTTATTATCTTTGACTCTTTGGGGGGTTAAGGATTAAGACAGAGCATAGCGGATTGATTCTCCTGCTCCTCTTGATATTGACAGAGGCCAGTTGGTAGTATTTGTCTTCGGACGTGTTGGCCTGGCGAGTCTAAGAAAGCTTTTTTTTTTTTCCTCTCTCTCTGTTAGATGGAGTCTCACTCTGTCACCCAGGCTGGAGTGCAGTGCTAAGGCAGCTTTATTCATATTTCTGGCACCTTGGTGGGAGTGCTGGAAAGGCTGAGCTCAGCTGGGATTGTGACTCCAATTTCTGCACTGACTTTCAGAGAGACTTGAGATTACCAATACACATTTCGATTGAGGGTATGATCTTTTCCACATGCAAAATGAGTCAGGTTTGGAGAGGAAGGAATGATACTTACGAGCATTAACAAAGTACAATGGTGTAGTGGTGTAAGTTCTTCAGTTTCCTCATAAGAAAGTGCTTATGCTAATGCACACTGTCAGGTTTCGTAGCACTGTTCACTTTTCATCTCCTCATTTTCTTCTTTTTTCTTCATCCTTCAATTGCCTTTTCTTTTCAGTTCAAAACAAGCCTGCAGAGTAAATGCAGAAGCATAATCCTGTATTAATTTATGGGCCGTGGTGTGGCTTACTAGAAATGAAATGCTCTGGTCCCATGAAATCCTAATCACTTTCACAGCCAGCAGGTGCCAGAGTTAAAGCATTTCCAGTGAAGTGAACAAGAACATTAAATAAAACCCGTGCTCAGGACTGGATGCATTTAAGTCAGGAAGAGGAAAGTACTGTGTTGCTGATCAAAGTCTGGCCCAGGGAGGCAACTCTATTTGGTTTTAACTCAGTGGGAAAGGCAGTAACTTCAAATCCATGGTCAGTTCAATTCAATTTATGAGAGACTTACCCAGTTATTTCTGTATTGCATGGCAAGCAGCGAGGCTCTGAGCTGGCTTATGAAAAATCTCCCAGGTGAAAGAGATATAGAAAAATTATCCCCCGTGCAAGTTCTTTCAACTCTCCCTAACCCTTTGAGCCATTCTGTGGAAGTAGATCAGAATCTCAAGAGAAGGGGAAAGGCATCTGTGTTTGGAATGGACAGTCCTGGTCCCATTCCCTGGTGAAAATTTATCTCTCATGTGGCACAAATGGTGGGAAAAACCCTCTCTATTAACTACTGACTAGGAGTTGCCAGAATAAAAGCAGGTTCGGGGAAACCCCAACTTAGATGTGCTGGGATTAATGAATGAACTTCCTGAACAGACAAGTGACTGAGAATCATTTTCTAAAGTGTACACACAATAGATATAAAGATATCTTTAAAAACTTTGTAAATCCAAAATACGTTGAATAAGGGATAATTTAAAAATAATATGATTAAGTTTAATTCTGATGATTGATTATGTCAATCCAAAACAAATTCTCAGAGCTGACAAATACTTTCCATATATCTTAAAGAGCAGAGGGCTGTTATATCCAATAGAATGGTGAAAAGAAATAGAATGATAAGCCAAAAACTACAGACAATCAGAAAATTGTTGATGCAGTATTAGGTTGTGGAATACCTGATACGAACACTTTGGCAGAATATGTATCTTCTTAATAATATTTAACTTATGGAAATATTAGAATCAGCTTGCTTTCCCTGCATTCAACTTATGGTGTCATGCAGAATATTGCCCAGGTTTTGATTTTGACAGTAGTCCTAATTTTGAATGCCAATTTTATCTAAAAAATGATTTTATAACCGATTAAAATAGCTTGGGTAATGTGTAAGGATAACAGCACAAAAATTTTTAGAATTAAATTAAAGATACTAACATTGTCTTCATTATCACTTCTAAGTTTAATACAGTACAGGCATACCTCAGAGATATTGTGGGTTTGGTTCCAGACCAACACAGTAATGCAAATATGGCCATAAACCTAACCACTCAATTTTTTTGGTTTCCCACTGCATATAACAGTTTTAGGCCAGGCACAATGGCTCATGCCTGTAATCTCAGCACTTTGGAAAGCAGAGGCAAAGGGATCACCTGAGCCTGAGAGGTTGAGGCTACAGTGAACCATGGTTGCGCCACTGCACTCCAACTTGGGCAACAGAGTGAGGACCTGTCTAAAAAAAAATTACGTTTATACTGTACTGTAGTCTATTAGATGTGCAATAGTATGATGTCTAAAAACATAATATATATAACTTAATTTTAAAATAGGCCAGGTGTGGTGTCTCATGCCTGTAATCCTAACATTTTGGGAAGCCAAGCCTGGAAGATTTTGCAGGAGGCCGGGAGTTTGAGACCAGCCTAAGCAACTGAGTAAGATCCCATCTCTACAAAAATAAATAATGATTAGCTGGGTTTGGTGCTGGGCACCTGTAGTCTTAGCTACTCAGGAGACTGAGGTGGGAGGACTGCTTGAGGCCAGGAGTTTGAGACAAGTCTGGGCAACATAGTGAGACTTCTTTTCTACCATAAAGTAAAATAAAAATACTTTATTGCTAAAACATGCTAATAATCATTTGAGTTGTCAGCAAGTCATAATCTTTTTGCTAGTAGAGGGTTTTGCCTCAATATTGATGGTTGACCGATCAGGGTGGTGGTGGTTACTGAAGGTTGGGGTGCCTGTGGCAGTTTCTTCAAATAAGACAATAATGAAATTTGCCATATCAATCGACTCTTCCTCTCATGAAATATTTTACTGTAGCATGCAATACTGTTTGATAGCATTATACTCACAGTAGAACTTTTCAAAATTGGAGTTAATCCTCTCAAATCCTGTCACTTCCTTAACAAATAAGTTTATGAAATATTCTAAATTCCTTATTGTCATTTCAGCAATGTTCACATAATCACCAAGAGTTGATTCCATCTCAAGAAACTACTTTTTTACTCATCCATAAGAAGCAACTTCTCATCTGTTCAAGTTTTATCATGAGATTGTAGCAATGCAGTCACAACTTCAGGCTTCACTTCTAATTCTAGTTCTTTTGCTATTTCTACCACATCTGCTGTTACTTTCTCCACTGGAGTCTCAAACCCCTGAAAGTCATCCATGAGAGCTTGAATTAACTTCTTTCAAGCTCCTATTATGTTGATATTTGACCTCCTTTCATGAATCATGAATGTTCTTAATGGGATCTAGAATGATGAATCTTTCCTGAAAGGTTTTCAATTTACTTTGCCTAGACCCATCAGAGGAATCACTGTCTATAACAGCTAGAGCCTTATGAAATCTTTTTCTTAAGCAATTAAACCTGAAAGTCAAAATTACTTCTTGATTTATGGACTGCAGAATAAATGTTGTGTTAGCAGGCAAGAAAACATCTCCTTGTACATCTCCATCTGAGCTTTTGGATGACCAGGTGTATTTTCAGTGAACAGTAATATCTTGAAAGGAATCCTTCTGTTCTGGGCAGTAGGTCTCAACAGTGGGGTTAAAATATTCAGTAAAGTGGGCTTAAAATGTGCTGTAAAATAAATAGATATGTTGTCATCCAGGTTTTATTGTTCCATTTATAGAGCACAGGCAGAGTAGATTTAGTATAATTCTTAAGGGCCTTATGGTTTTTGAAATAATAAATGAGCATTGGCTTTAACTTCAAGTCACCAGCTGCCTTAGCTCCTAATAAGAGTCAGCCTGTCCTTTGAAGCTTTGAAACCAGGCCTTGACTTCTTTCTAGCTATGAAAGTACTAGAAAACACTAGATAGCATCTTTTTTCGGTAAAGCCAGTTTCATCTACCTTGAAAATCTGTTGTTTAGCATAACCATCTTCACCAATTATCTTAGCTAGATCTTCTGGATAACTTGCTGTAGCTTCTACCTCAGCATTTGCTGCTTCATCTTGCACTTCTATGTTACAGAGACAGCTTCTTTCCTTAAACCTCTGATGGCTTCCAAGTTTTCTTCTCCTGCTTTCTTACCTCTCTCAGCCTTTATAAAATTGAAGAGAGCCAGGGCCTTTCTCTGGATTAGGCTTTGGCTTAAGGGAATGTTACGACTTGTTTGATCTTCTATCCAGACCACTCATACTTTCTCCATATCAACAATAATGCTGTTTCTCTCTTTTATCTTTTGTGTGTTCACTGGCGTAGCATTTTTAATTTCTTTCATGAACTTTTCCTTTGCATTCATAACTTGGCTAATCGTTTGGCACAAAAGGCCTAGCTTTTGACCTATTTTTGGTTTTCAACATTGCCTTCCTCACTAAGCTTAATCATTTCTAGCTTTTTACCTAAAGTGAGAGGCATGTGACTCTCTCTTTCATTTGAACACTGAGAGGCCATTACAGGGTTGTTAATTGGCCTAATTTCAATATTGTTTTGTCTCTAAGAGCAGGGAGGCTGGAGGAGAAGAGAGATGGGAGAATGGCCTGAGGGTGAAGCAGTCAGAAAACACACACAATTATGGATTAAGTTTGTGTCTTACATGTGCACAGTTGGTGGTGCCCCAAAACAATTACAGTGGTAACTTCAAAGATCACTGATCACAGATCACCATAACTAGATAAAATAATAATGAAAAAGTTTGAAATATTGTGAGAATTAACAAATTGTCACATAGAGAAACAAAGTGAACACATGCTGTTGGAAAATGAATTGACAGACTTGCTGTCAATGCAAGCTTGCCACAAAACTTCAATTTGTAAAATATGCAATATCTACAAAGAATAATAAAATAAAATAAAATAAAGCATAATAAAATGAGATATCCCTGTATTTAGAAATATATATATGTATTTTTTTTTTAGAGATAAGATCTTGCTCTCTCACCCAAGCTTGAGTACAGCAGTACAATCACAGATCATTGCAACCTCAAACTCCTGAGCTTAAGTGATCCTCCCACCTCAGCCTCCAGAGTAGCTGATACTACAGGCGTGTACCTCCACACCAGGTGATTTTAATTTTTTTTTTTTTTTTTTGTAGAGATGAGGTCTTGCTGTATTGCCCAGGCTGGTCTTGAACTCCTAGACTCAAGTGATCCTCCCACCTTAGCCTTCCAAAATGTTGGGATTACAGGTGTGGACCACCACACCTAACCAGAATTACCTTTTCATTACAAATGTAGTAACAGTCACAGTGGCCAGTGTGGCAATCCAAGGATGCATGTAGCAAAATCTACAAAATGTATGTTCATGCTATGCTATGAGCATTGAGAAAGAATTGAGAAACTACTCGTAAGTGTGGGCTAGGAATGGAATGAGTGGGTCTGAGGATACTTTGAACTAGGCCACTATATAGTAAAACATGAATTCTGGTTTTTTGTTTGTTTGTTTGTTTTGTTTTATTTTTGTTTTTGTTTTCAGATGGAGTCTTGCTCTGTCACCCGTGCTAGAGTGCAGTGATGCAACCTTGGCTCATTGCAACCTCTGCCTCCTGGGTTCAAGCAATTCTCCTGCCTCAGCCTCCCAAGTAGCTGGGATTACAGGCACCCACCACCACGCCCGGCTACTTTTTGTATTTTTGGTAGAGACAGGGTTAAACCGTGTTGGCCAGGCTGGTCTCAAACTCCGTCCAACCTCAAGTGATCCACCCACCTTGGCCTCCCAAAGTGCTGGGATTACAGGAATGAGAAGAATTTGTGGGTTAGACAATAACTTAGGGAGGAGGGAGAAACGGAGGAAATGTTGTCAATGTGACAAGTGGGTGGTTGTGTGTGTTTATGTGTGTTTTTCTATACTGGGTAATAAAAATAATGCCTAGATTTGTAAGATGACAGAAGGAAACCCTTCAGAGGCTCTTGAATTTGACTCTTCTGTAAATCTATGTCCTGAAAGAACAGCTACATGTAAGCAATGATCTCCAAATCCCTTTCTTCTTTCAGCAAGTTTTGTCATAATCATGACACAAATAATTCAGTTTTTAAAAACATAGCTGTTCTAGAATATGACTGTTAATGGAGCACTTGAAGCATATTCTGACTCAACAAGTCAAGTTCAAATAGTATTTGTGGGCATGAGAACATGGTTTGTTTTTATCTGCATCCAGACATTCTAACCCTGGAAAAGTTTTGTGCCATGATTTTTTAAAAGAAATACTGTCTAGAGCTTTGACAGTGCTCTCTGCTGATAATCCTTAACCAATTAAATAGGACCCACCAGAGACCTTGTTCATGAAAGATTTACAGAAAAGTCACAATGTAGTCGAATTCAAAATGAAGAGTGTACGATAAGTGAGCAATTTTTGAATAATAACATATTCAGTAAAAGATAAAACATATCACCTCGAAATACAATGGAACAACATTAAAGTAGATATCTTGGGA